GCCTTGAATCCCTCCTGCAACATTGCCCATCCATGGTTTGCGAGCCTGCGGTGTGGAACTCAGCCAGTGACTGGGAAACCACAACTTCCCCAATGGATCCCCCTCTTCCACGCTCAACGTGGGGTTCGGCAAAGATGCCCTGGCAAAAAAGGTCCTCTGAGACCCGCTGTGTGCCAGGTCCCTGTCTGGGCACCAGGGACACAGAGTGAAAGAAGACCCTGCCTTCCAGGAGCTCATAGCCAAGCCAGGGAGACCCGCCTCTCACAGCCATTTCAGAGGTTTTGGAGGAAACAGTCCCCTCTGCCTGGGGGTCCTCAGCCTCCCAGCACCAGACATTCCATTGGAAGAGGACACCACCTCCCTTTGCCCCGGGGAAGAGGCTCCAGGCCCCTCATTTATCTTCCATCTCCCAGGCCCAGGACTGAGCACTGTAATGCTTCCTCTTGAGCTGGGGTTTTTCAGGCCCCGGGGGTGTGTATATGGATGGGTTATCTGGAGCTTGAGAGCTCTCTATGAGACAATAAAATGTTTGTGTTTTCATTTTGGAATAATCTAAAAAAAAATCAATATAAACATATTCTATATCATCTGGATGCCTTGCTTACAGCCGATTATGTGAGCACAAAATTTTGGTATCTACCTTTGCACTGATGTTTATGGAAAGCAGTCTTTTTTCTTTTTAAAGTAGAAGCTACATGCAGAAAAATATACAAAGCTGAAGTATAGAGCTGGATGAATTTTCACAAAGAGAACACATCTGTGAAACCAACACTCAGATCAAGAAACACAATATTATTACTGTCCCCTGGACACCCTCCTTAAGACCTTCCACACTCCCCAGAGGTAACCACTATCCTGACTCCTTTGAACTTGATATAAGTGGGTCATATAGAATGACTCTTTGGTCCCTGGCCTCTTTCTCTCAACCTGATACCATGAATTTCATCCACGTTGTTGGCGTATAGCCGTAGTTGACAGTGGTTAGCTTCTAATCCAGCGTTTCTCAAAGTGGGATTTTCAGAAGTGGTTCTGGAGGGTCTATGACTCTACCATTTGGAGAAAAACAAATGTGGGTACCTGCTGGTTCAGAAGGGTATTGAAACAGCCAACTGCAGGACACACAGTCCTGTCCTGGGCATTCACTCCACAGCCTAGGTCCTGTCGCTGTCCTCCTGACTTGCGGTTTCCCCATGCATCAGGCTCGCCCAGGCCTCTAGGTCTTTGGAGATGTTGTTCCTTCTGCCTGGGACTCCCTTCCCTTGCTCATCTGCCTGGCAAAGGCCTACATGTCTTGTGACCTCTGAAAGGCTGCCTCCTCTGTGAGGTCTCCCCTGGCTTTGCTGGGCAGGCTCAGGCACCCCTTCTCTCGTGAGGCCTCTGTGTTCCGTCCAGGTTGTCCCTGCAGCATTTATTCACACTTGTGCGGTCCTTGCAGGTCTGTCTCTGTTTGACTGTGGGCTGCTTCTTCTTCCTCTTTTTCGTTTTAATTGAAGTATAGTTGATTTACAATGTTGTGTTAGTTTCTGGTATACAACAAAGTGATTCAGTTATTCATACATATACATATTCTTTTCCACTATGGTTTATTACAGGATATTAAATACAGTTCCCTGTGCTATACAATAGGATCTTGTTGTTTATCTATTTTATATATAGTAGTTTGTATCTGCTAATCCCAAACTCCTAATTTATCCCTCCCCACCCTTTCCCCTTTGGTAACTGTAAGCTTGTTAGTTCTATGTCTGTGAGTCTGTTTTTGTTTTGTAAATAAGTTCACTTGTATCATTTTTTTTAGATTCCACATATAAGTGATATCATATGGTATTTGTCTTTCTCGTTCTGACTTACTTCACTTAGTATGACAATCTCTAGGTCCATCCATGTTGCTACAAATGGCATTATTTCATTCTTTTTAATGGCTGAGCAGTATTCCATTGTGTCTATATACCACATCTTTACCCATTCATCTGTCAATGGACACTTAGGTTGCTTCCTTGTCTTGGCTATTGTAAATAGTGCTGCAGTGAACATTAGGGTGCATGTGTCTTTTCAAATTAGAGTTTTCTCCAGATATATGTCCAGGAGTGGGACTGCTGGATCATATGGTAACTCTATTTTTAGGGTCTTTTTTTAAATTTACTTATTTTGTTTATTTATTTTTGGCTGCGTTGGGTTCGTTGCTGCGTGCGGGCTTTCTCTAGTTGTGACTAGCGGGGCTACTCTTTGTTGCGGTGCGCGGGCTTCTCATTGCGGTGGCTTCTCTTGTTGTGGAGCATGGGCTCTAGCCACGCAGGCTTCAGTAGTTGTGGCTCGCGGGCTTCAGCAGTTGTGGCTCACGGGCTTCAGTAGTTGTGGCTCACGGGCTCTAGAGCGCAAGCTCAGTAGTTGTGGCGCACGGACTTAGTTGCTCCGCGGCATGTGGGATCTTCCCGGGCCAGGGCTCGAACCCGTGTCCCCTGCATTGGCAGGCGGATTCTTAACCACTGCACCACCAGGGAAGCCCTATTTTTAGTTTTTTAAGGAACCTCCATACTATTTTCCATGGTGGCTTCACCAATTTACATGCTAGACTGTGGGCTTCTTGAGAAGGGGAGTGTGGAGTGATGCTGGATGCACTCTCAGAGGGACCAAGGAGGCACTTACTGCACCCTCCACCCCCAGAGCCATCAGAGGCAGGGGCGGGGTTCTCTGTGCTATTTCACCTGCCTTGTTAAATATGCAGCTCAGGTGGCCCCAGCATCCCTGTATCATCAGCGAGGGTGGACAGCATCAGAACAGTGGCATGGGGCTTCCTTGGACAAGCTACCACGCCAGGGAATTAAAGGCCTGGAGAGCCCTGCTTGGACCCAACGCCAGGCCCTAGGGCCCAAGGGTGAGATACTTTACCAGGCAGGCATCAGTTTTCTCATCTGTAAAATGGGGACAATGAACCTGGTCACCTTTCTCTTTCATGGGTAGAGTACGAGGTTAATGAGTGCCCAAGGCTGGACGTGACTGTACTGAAGATGGAGTGCAAGCTGCCCAGAGGCAAGGTAATGGCGTCGGTGACCCTTGGCTCTCTCTTCCTGCCTGAAGGTCTGTGAGCCCCACAGTTCGGCTGTGGCTGCTCATCTTGGTCCCCCACCCTGTCCTGGGTGAGTCTTGGCTTGGAAGCCTTAAACTGCGTGCTAAGCACCTACTCCACTCATTTCTACCTAAATTTGCCCAGCCCTGTGCCCTGCCCCTGCAGTGCTCCGGCGGCTCCAATACAGTACATTGGGTGTCCTTGTCCCTTCTAACAGAACGCTACTCGTACGTAGTGTTCCTTCTCCAGGCAGCCTTCTCTTAGCAGTGCTGTTCACGTGGGGCTCACCTACACTGTCAGCATTTGTGAAGGGTTTGGGCCCTAACTGGCCCTCTACTTTGACACCACCCCCCCATCCTAAGGTAGAACTGGGGCCGCAGACTGTGACCTGGCTGGTCCCTGGAAGAGTGGGCTCCGCCGGATGAGGGTAGCAAGATACAGTTCCCTGTTGCCGTGACAACTAAAAGCACCCCCGTGAGCCTTTTCATTGGCCACTGAGGTTGAGATCCCGCCTCCGCTATCGGAAGGCACCAACCCGAGGCAGACTGGGTGAGACCCCACTGGGGCATTAGAGGGGGTGACAGGTTTCGCTTCCCATCCGGCAGGAAGACCCACGGGCACATGATCCCACTTCTCATGGACATCCTGGCTACAGTGGAGCTGTGTCCAGGAGTCGGTCGCGGGTGGAGGTGGGATGCATCTCGCTGGCCTTTTCCTCTGGCGGGGCTGGCTAGACGTGGAGCTGGGTGAATGCACCGGGGAGGAAACAGTTTTTCTTACCAGCAGTTCAGGCCCGGGAGGTCTGGCTCCTTGGGGCTGCGGCTGGGAGGTCCCCAAGGGCTGCCAGGTGGAGGCGGGGAGTGGGGGGAGGCTGAGGAGGAAAAGTATTAGGGAAGGGGGTGGGGAGGATCTCACTAGTAGAAGAGGCAGACGTTACTGGAGGTAAAGGTCGGCTTGGAGTCACAAAAGACCCGGGTTCGAATCCTCTCTGTCCTCGCCAGCACACAGGTGCCTCCCTCTCTCTGTTTGGGGGGAGGTTCGAACACTCATGACTTTATGCCGATCCTTGTGCTGAACACCCTGGGACTTTTCCCTCCGTTATGCCCTCAAAACGACCCTGAAATAGGTGGGTGCCATTTTACAGGTGAGGAAACTGAGGCTCAAGGAGGCTACGTGGGAAAAACCCAAGGTGAGCTCAATTCCCAGACGTGAGAAAGATCCGGCGGGGTTGGCGGTTATCGGGAGGGAAGTAGGAGGTGCCGTTCCCACCCCCACCCCCAGGCATCCTGGCCTGTCCGGAAGGAAGGGTAGTGCCAAGCCTTGAGGCTTGCGTGGTTTCCTCTAGCAAAACTGCCGTCAGGCTCTCTCTGGGGGGTAAACCGCCTGGAGCCTTCTCCAGAAAGTTCCCTGTGCAGGAGACTGCGGGTTAAAGATAGAGCCGCCCTCAGGGAGGAAGGGAGAGAGTGTTTATAACTCCTTTTTGCCCTTTCAAAACCCCCTAGAATTGCTAATGGAAGCCCTCATTTAACAACAACGGACCCACTTAATTTAGCCTAGCTGGGATTGAGACCTCGCCCCACGATGGGACCACACTGATGTGCTCCAAGGGAGGGACTGAGCCAGTAGAGGGGCGCTGTATTTAGCATTGGATTGTACATGATCTCTGAGCCTCACATCCTTCACCTGTAAAATGGGCTTGATTAGATCGTGAGGGCTAGGAAAATTAATCATGACCCCCACTAGAGTCTTTCTTGGTGGCACCTGTGATCTGCATGGACAAGGCAGTCCTCCCTGCAGAGTGCCCCCCACACCACCACCACCCCCAGAGATTCCTGGGACCCCTCAGAGTTACAGGAAGAGGCTTTTTCCCAGATGCCCTTGCAGTTCACCTCCTGGGGCCAGATTCATTAACAAACACTTACAGAGCACCTAAAAGTTGATGCTTTTTGAATGTCTAACATATGTCAGGCTCTATGTGAAGTGTTGGACCCTGACCAATTCTTTTAATCATCCTAGAACAACCCTTCCTTTCTCCTGAAAAATGCTATTACCATCATCCCCTTTTTGTAGATGAGGAAACTGAAATTTATAGAGAGGTTAAGAAAGTTCACCATGGAAATTTCAGACTCTTTCTGATGCAAATGACAGAAAGCCTGACTCAAACTGGTTTATGCCAAGAAGAGAATTTACTGGCTCGGGGAAACTGAAGGAGTCTCAAAAACATCATAAACACTGAATCCTTCCACTCTGCCATGAGCGGTCTTCTGGGGCTCCAGGTTCATAACATCCCAAATTCCAGGTCAGTAGAAAAGGGTCCCTTCTTAGCAATTGCGACACAGGTCCCAGGATTTACTCTAATTAGACAGTTGGTGGTCACATGACCACACATAAAAGGCCCTGCCCAGGAAGATTTATTACTGATTGGTGGGTCTGGTCACAGGCCCCATGGCTGCAGCCTCACCTGTTCCAATGAGCTGAAAAGGAAGACGGGAGGGATGTTTCTCCAAAGAAGAACCGGAAGAGATGGGAGATGGATGCCAGCTTCTAACTCTACCTGTGTCCTCCACGCTGAGGTCAAAATGTCACACAGTTGAAAAGAGGTAGAGCCTGGATTGAGCCCTGGCAGTCTGACTCCAGAACACAGGCCCTTCTACTACAGGTGCCAGCCTGGTACTAAGGTCCTAGTAGAGAAAACATAGATGTGGAAGATGAGGCTCCCCGCCCCTTCCTCACTGGTCCCAGGTCAGTCCTCATCGCATATGGTGCCCATCCCCACCTCTGGCCCTGGCTCCTGTTGTTCCCGAGAGGGTTCCTGGAGCCTTTCTGATAGCTGGGCCTGGGCTGTTGCCCACCATGCTGCCAAAGGCACTCCATATTTAGCTGAAGTTATGCACTGTCCTGGGGTCTAGTTGCTTCCTGTTTCTCCAAGCAGAGGGGAGGTTCCTTGGGGACTGAGACTGTGTTCTCCCTTCCCCTGTGTGTGGTCCTCCTCTGGGACCTGGCAGTATTTGTGCAGCAGGCAGCAACTGTGCTTGTGAGGGACCCTAGGAAGGCCCTTGTCTACCCACTATATTCCTCCTTTACTTTTTTTTTTTTTAATGTATTTATTTTATTTATTTATTTTTGGCTGTGTTGGGTCTTTGTTGCTGCGCGCGGGCTTTCTCTAGTTGCGGTGAGCGGGGGCTACTCTTCATTGCGGTGTGTGGGCTTCTCACTGCAGTGGCTTCTCTTGTTGCAGAGCACGGGCTCTAGGCACCCGGACTTCAGGAGTTGTGGCTCACAGGCTCTGGAGCGCAGGCTCAGTAGTTGTGGCGCACGGGCTTAGTTGCTCCGCAGCATGTGGGATCTTCCCAGACCAGGGCTCGAACCCGTGTCCCCTGCATTGGCAGGCGGATTCTTAACCACTGCGCCACCAGGGAAGCCCCCTCCTTTACTTTTAAAAATTCTATCATTAGATGGGATTTCACTCCTTTAATTCCTGTTAAGATTCAAATTCCTCTGAGAGAGGGGGCATAGTCTTGTTACTCATTCACACTTTAGTGAGAAATAATTCACAGAATCCTTCCTGAGAGCAGGCTTTGTTATCATGGCCACCATTTATTGAGTGCCTGCCATGCGCTCTCCACTGATCTAAGAGCTTCTCATACATTATCTCATTTAAATCTCACAACTCTGAAGTGAGTACCGTAATTTTCCTTGTTTTACAGATAAGGAAACTGAGGCCCAGAGAGGTTAAGCATCTTGCCCAAGGTTTGCAATCAGTGGAGCAGGAATTTGAATGTAGGAAGTCTGGTTCCAGAGCCCACACTGCCTATCACTCCACCAGGTTAGTCCCTAACACTCTTCAGTGTACAAACGTATTCAGCGTATTCACAGACATCTTTCGGACCTCCCTACAATTCAGTGAGGTAGTTGGCACGGTCATCCTCATTTTACAGAGGAGGACACTGAGGAGGCCAAGTTCAGTCAGCTGGCGACAGGGTTTAGGCCCAGCGCTCCCACCTCAGCTCGGCTCTGCGCCCTGGGCCACATGCAGCGGCACACAGTGACAGGAGCCTTGAGGCAGCTCCTGGGTGGGAGAGGGAGGGTGCAGTGGGCACGGAAACTGGGAGAGCCCAGAACGGAGCTGCTCCTTCCTCCCTTCTCCCCCTCCTCCTCCCTCCATCGCTTCCTTCTCTCCTTCCTTCCACTCATTCATTCACCTACCTGGGCACCTACTAAAGGTAAAGGCTGTGGGTAAGAATGGCCAAAACAAGTGTCCCTCGTGCCGTCACAGGGCTGACAGTCTAAAAAACAAACGAACAAAAGCACTTGCTCTATCTTAAGTGTTAATGATGAGCTGGGCCCTGTGCTGAGTACTGGATGTGCGTCATGCTCAGAGCCCTCTTTTTCAGGTAGGAGACTGAAACTTAGGAGGGGTCCCAGCATCTCACCATTAGGCTGAATTGCCTCCGTCTTGGGGTGTAGTGAGGATCCAGTGAATATTTTTGGAGTGATGAACACGCACACACACAGCCCAGGCTTTGTGGCCCCAGCACCCAGCGCCAGAGGCAGCCATGTGTGCTGTCTCCGGCACCCTCCCTACCGCCAGGAGCCAGGCCCCATCCCATACAGGAAGATGATGGGGAAAGGCCATCTCCCAAAGCAGGGACAGGATGGCACACTTCAGGACCTCTGGATTGAAACTCCCAGGGAAATTGAATGAGAGTGATCTAACCAGAGATCCCAGAGGGAGAAACCAGGGCTGGGGGTCGGGGTGCGGGTGGGGCAGGGAGGGCAGGCTTCTAGCGTGGCTTCCTTGTGCCTCAGTTTCCTCTTCTGTAGGGTGACTTGCTCACAGCTGTGTCTGAAGTGTGACCCATCAGAAACTTCCTAGAGCTGGCTGGACGCTTCATCCTCCCCACTTTCTGACCTGGTTCTCCCAGGCTCTTCGTGGGGCTTATGTTTCCTACTTTACAGATGTGGAGACAGGGCTCGGAGAGGCTGACCCACAGCCACATAACGAGCATTAGAAATGCGATGAGAACCCACCAAGGTCTTGAGTCTATTGCCCCAGCAAGTACCTCCTAAGCACTCAGTGGGGTATCAGAGTCTGAGCTGTGCCCAGGACATATAGCAGTGAGCAAGACACACTTGTCCTACCTCCAGGGGCACCAGTCCCAGCAGGGGGGGGGGGGGGACAGACAAGGGAGGAAATGTTGAAAATGTTGGCAGGACAAAGTGAAGAGCCAAGAGAGACCAAAGAGAACGGCTCAGGGCTGTCTCAGCTCCCGCACTTGGGAGGACCCAGCAGAGCAAAGGTTTGGGGGCTGGAGAGTTGAACTGGGGAAGGCTGGGGTCCAGGACCAGTATTCCTGGCTCAAGTGGGGTGCTGACTGGGAGAGGGAGTTGGAGCTGCCTCACCCTCAGAAATACCCATACCAAGGCCACTTTCGGCCTCTGCCTGCTGCCTCTCAGGCCATGCTCTGCCTGCCAGGAATTTCCATCCATCAGTTTCCTTGTCTTGGGTGGTTTCCTGCCCCACCTGCTTTCCTGGAGCCCAGTTCACCCATCACTCCTGCCAGACATGTACCAGGGTCACTCTGAGTAACTGCAGGGACCCAGGGTGACCTCACCTGATTCAGTTTGACTCACCCTCCCCATTTCTGGAAGGTGGCTCTTGGCCATTCTTACGTCATGCTTCAGCACCCAGTGCCTGTGGGAGTGGCATATCCCCCTCCCCGCTCCCAACGGTTCACCGGGTCTGTGTCACAGAGGGGAAGTGCGGGAGCCCTGAAGAGGGAGCCCTCATACACCCAGATTAACTCACTCCGTCTACAGCTCACTTTGGACTGTTTCCTTTCCAGTGATCGCGAACATTCTCCAGTCTGCTTTCCTGTTTTTAACAGGAAAAGGACATTATCTAGGAAGACTAGCTGTTGTTAATTGACCACTTACTATGAGCTGGGCAGTCTGTAGGTATCATCAGAGTCTCAAGCATTTCATTATTGGTCTTCATTTTCTAGATGTGGAAGCCAGAGCTCAGACAGGGGACTTGACTTGTCTGAGGTCACACTGCAAAGAATTGGCTGAGCTGGGTTTGGAACTCAGGTGTACTTGACTCCAGAGTTGTTTAGCCAGGGCCCCACTCCTGACCACGCCCTCCAGCTGCCCACAGGTCTGGGAGGGCAGAGGGAGATCATTCCATCCCCAGCTTGAGCCTGCCCAGATCCAGCCACCCCCACTAGGACCCCTTCAATAGTGGTGCTGGAAGGGATAGAAGCTTTGAGAGGAGCCACCGTTTGCTCCACCCAGGGGTCTTAGGGCCATCACTTTCTTGGTGGGCAGAAGCCCAGACCTACATAGCGCCCATGGGAGGGGATCCTCTTGTGAGTGGGCCAGACATGTGCTACTTGGTGGAATTCGTGACTGGTCATCCCGCCTCATTTTTAGGTGGGCCCAGGTCTGCCACCTCAGCTCTCCACCCTTTCCCTTCCACAGCCGCTCCCCAGTCTGCTCCAAATCCCTCCCCCAGGCCTCTCGCACCCAACCTGCCTTCACACCAGATGAGGCTGCACAGCCCACAGTGGCCACTAGTCATGAGTGGTTGTTGAGCACTTGAAATGTGACTAGTGCAGCGAAGGAACTGAGTTATCATGTTATTTAATTTTAATCAGTTTACGTTTAAGCTTAAAAAGTGATACTCCATGCAGTGCTTAGAAAACACAAGTATGTTTGGAACAACTTGAATATGAGGATCTACTTTTTCAACTGCAAATTTTAGGAACTCTAAATACAGATCGTTTTCTGAGAAAAATTTAGCAAGTGTTTTACATGTAAACTAGCCACCAGATCTTGAAGACTTAGTAAAATAAAATGTAAAAGTATCTCATTACTATTTTTATATTGACTATGTGTTGAAATGATAGTATTTTAATATATCAGATCAAATTTTTAAATATTATTAAATATTTAAACTATTATTAAAATTACTTTTGCCTAATTATTTTGTAACGTAGCTATTAGAAACATTTTCAATTACTTATGTGGCTCTTATTTCTATCAGATAGTACTAGTCGAGAGGGTAAACGTGTGGGTTCAAATTTTGGGTCTGTGTATCCTTGAGCAACGTAACCAGTCTCTCTGGACCTCAATTTCCTCACCTTGAAGGGAGAGAGAATAGCAGTACCTCCCTCACAGAATTGTTCAGAGGAATAAATGAGATACTGTTTGTAAAGCGCTTAGCACAGTGCCTGGCTTATAGTAGCGCTCAGGGAAAAAACGACAATATTATTATAGGCTTCCTTTTATCATAGCACCCAGTTGCAGTTCAATTAAACTCAACAATATTTATGGAGGGCCTGCTATGTGCCTGGCTCTGAGGAGTCGATGAAGAACAAGCCAGATGACAGCCTCTGCTCTCGTGGAACTCCCATCCTCCAGGAGGGAGGTGGCCGCTGAAAGAAACAGGGAATGTGCAGGTAGTGAGTGCTCGGGAGAAAATGAAGCACGGAGATGTTGCTAGAGGCTGCTGTAGCAGGAGTGGCGAGGGAAGGTTCCCCTGTGGAGCATGACCGACGTGGAACCAACCACGTGACGCTGTGAGGGAAGGGTGTTTCCGGCAGAGGGAACAGCTAGTGCAAAGGCCACTGCGAAGCCCCTGTGACTGCAATCTGTCTCCTGTATTGCACCATCTGCTTCACCAAACTTTCCACTTCTCTCATCCAACTCTCTCCTGGCCACTGCACTATCCCTGTGTTCATGGCAACCTTTGTAAAGCTGGTCCAACATTATTCCCCATCTCATCTGCTCTGCTCTCTCCTGTCTGCCCCGGAAAACCTCCTCCCTCCTCTGGCCCTCCAGCTCAGGTCCCCTCTTCGAGGAAGTTTCCCCTGATGGTTCCTGACCCCACTGGTCTCTCTCTGGCGTTCTTCTAAGACTGAACACTTTGTTTTACAACATCCCAGTTCCCACCTTGCCTCTTCATCTTTCTGGGGCAGTCATGCCTTCCCCACAAACTTGCCCCTTTTCCTAGGGCTGGAACCAGAATCAGGTCTTACACACTTCCTAGCACTCAGCCGAGCCGCTCATTAACACCTGTGGATTGCCAGGTCCTGGGAGAGGCATGTCTGCCTGGGCAGAGTGGAAAATCCCTGGCTGAGGAAAGGGCCATGGAAATTTCTTCTTAACGTTCTCCTTCCAGACTTGGACTTGCCCCAGAAAGCAGTCAAGCATTTGCCCAGTGCCCTGCAGGGCGGCCTCTGTTCTTCCTCCTGCCCCCGCCCCCAACCCACCCCAGGCTTGAACCCAGGGAGCAGTGACAGGGTGGGGCTGGGGAGAGGCAGCAGCTGGCAGCTGAGCTCTGCTGTAAAGAATCGCTCTTGATGTCATCCAGTCCCACCCCCTCAGTTCAAAGATAAAGGAATAAGGTCAATGGCAAAATCATGCTAGACTGCGGGTCTCTCCTCTCCCGTTGAAGCTCATTCCATTGCTCCATGTTCCTCGGTTTCCTCATCTGTAAAATGGGAATAATAATAACAGTACCTCCTTCATAGGACTGGTGATATGTGAAGTGAGTTAAAGATGTAGAGATAAATATAAGCCCTAGGTCTGCCCTTCCTCTAGCCCCTTGGTGGAGTGTGCAGTTCCCATTCTTCCAGCTGCCAACTTCTGGGGGGACTTAAAAGAGGGTTTGAAGTTATCACCGGGGTCCGGCAGGTTCCAAGGAGGATTGCCCGGTGTTGTCTGTACACTGTATCCACAGCACATCTGGCTCACATTTGTCCTGCTACTCTTTACATGTCCGTAGATGCAATTTTGGTGAGTAAAATGTGTATTCACTTAACATTGTTACTGAAGTCACAGCTTTGTAATATATTTGCTCAGTCCGTGATAGCAAAAGTCAAAATTTTTGGAGGCTGAGAATTGGTTAGGGGCCACTGGGGCAGGTTCTCCAGTCCTCAGCCCTTCTCTCCTGGGAACCCAAGCCCCTCTCCTGTCCTCTGAGATGTGCCAGCCCAAATCAGCTCTACTATTCTGTCACCAGCCCTCAGATTACCCCTTCCCCTCCCCTCCCCTCCGAGGGAATGGGAATGTGGGTTGGGGGGAGGCCTAGGTGACAGAATGAGAAAAGCTGCCTTCACATGCTCAGGGCTGAACTCTCATCCTTCCTCCTCTGGGAACCTGTCCTCACTCTGTCTCCAAATTCCTAGAACATACAGGATACTGCAGATTCATCGCCCTCATGCGGCTCTTTACACCTTACTACCTGTAGGCGTGGGTGTGGTGGGCTTGACTGTTGGGGTAATTTGGACCTGGGCTGAGATGTGGAGAGGCATAAAAGGGCTTAGAAGTATTGTGCACTGTTGGTGGGAATTTAAGCTGGTGTAAATTGTACAGAAAACAGTATAGTGGTTCCTCAAAAAGTTAGAACTAGAATTATCATATGATCCAGAAGTATCCACTTCTGAGTATATACCCCAAAAAAGTGAAAGCAGGGTCTCAAAGAGATTTGTACACCCATGTTCATAGCAGCATCATTCACAATAGCCAAAAGATGGAAGCAACCCAAATGTCCATTGATGGATGAAAGGTAAAGCAAAATGTGGTATATCCATACAGTGGAATGTTATTCAGCTTTAAAAAGGAAGGAAATTCTGACATTTGCTACAATATAATTGAACCTTGAAGACCTTGTATTGAGTGAAGTAAGCCAGGCACAGTAAGACAAATACTGTATGATTCCACTTATGTGTTGTATCTAGAGACATCAAATTCATAGAGACACAAAGTGGAATGGTGATTGCCAGGGGCTGGGTGGCGGGAGGGATGGGATATTGTTATTAAATGGGTATAAAATTTCCATTTTGCAAGATGAAAAAGTTCTGGAGCTTGGTTTCACAGCAATGTGAATATATTTAACACTACTGAACTGTACACTTAAAAATGGTTAAGATGGTAAATTTTATGTTATGTGTATTTTATCACAATTAAAAAAAAAAGTGTTTGGAAGTGGCTCCAATGGGCCTCTCCAGGAGATGGTGGATTTGAGATGTCATGATCCTTTCTGTCCTTCTTTTCTTCCATACATGTGCATTGAGAATTTTCTATGAGCCCGGCACTGTTCTAGGCACACGAAAAATGTAGGCTGACATTCTGTTAGCAGAGACAGACAATAAATAAAATTTGAACCAAAATGCTCATGGCTTCTCTTTGCTCTCCTTTACTTAGTGAAAAATTTACTGTATTTACACTAAATGGGACCCTAATTACGGAGCTATAATTTATGTTTTAAAACTTCTAGAGCTCATTTTATGTACTTTTTCATGTGTGTTAAAATTTTTTTAATTGAGGTATAATTTGCATACAGTAAAATGTGCCCTTTTATTAGGTGTTCAATTCTATGGATTTGAAAAACATGTACTTAAAAAACAGTTTTATTGATATAATTTACATACCATAAATTTCACCTATTAAATTATATTAATTTTATTATATTAATTATTATATCACTAATTATATAACAGTTATTATATTAATGGTTTTTAGTATATTCACAGAGTTCTGCAACTCTGTGAATATACTGATTTAGAATATTATCATCACCCCAAAAAGAAATTCTATACCTATTAGCATTCACCCCCAACTCCCCCCAGTCCCCCAGGCCTAAGCAACTAATCTTTCTATTTCTATGATTTGCTTATTCTGGACATTTCATATCCATGGAATCATACAATATGTGGTCTTTTGTGATTTGCTTCTTTCAATTAGCATAACGTTTTTGAGGCCCATCAAATGTGGTAGCATGGATTATTACTTCATTTCTTTTTATTGACAAATAATATTCTGTTATATGGGTATATCATGTTTTGTTTATCCATTCATCTGTTGATGGACATTTGGGTTGTTTCCACTTCGATATTATGAATAATGCTGCTATGAAAATTCATATATAAGTTTTTGTGTGGACATATGTTTTCATTTCTCTTGGGTATATACTGAGAAGTGGAATTGCTGGGTCATATGGTAACTGCATGTTTAACATTATGAGGAACTACCAAACCATTTTCCAAAATGGCTCTACCATTTTACAATCCCTCCAGCAATGTATGAGGGTGCCAGTTTTTCCACGTCCTTGCCAATACTTGTTCTTATCCACCTCTTTGATTATAGCCACTCTGGTAGTATGAAATGGTATCCCACTGTAGCGCTGATTTACATTTCCCTACTGACCAGTAATGTTAAACATCTTTTCATAAATGCTTATAGGGCGTTCGTATATCTTTAAAAAAATTTTTTTTTCACAAGTTTTTTGTTTTTTTTTTTTTGTTTTTTTGTTTTTGCTGCATTGGGTCTTCATCACTGCGAGTGGGTTTTCTCTAGTTGTGGTGAGCCGGGGCTACTCTTCCTTGCGGTACATGGGCTTCTCATTGCGGTGGCTTCTCTTGTTGCAGAGCATGGGCTGTAGGGTGTGTGGGCTTCAGTAGTTGTGGTGTGTGGGCTCAGTAGTTATAGCTTACAGGCTTAGTTGTTCAGAGGCATGTGGGATCTTCCCAGACCAGGGATCGAACCCCTGTCCCCTGCATTGGCAGGCAGATTCTTAACCACTCTGCCACCAGGGAAGTCCCTGTATATCTTCTTCGAAGAAATGTCTATTCAAATCTTTTGCTCATTTTTTAATTAAGTTGCAAGAGTTCTTTATGTATGCTAGGTGAAAATCACTTATCTTATATATGATTTGCAAAATATTTTCTCCCAGTCTGTGAGCTGTCTTCTTACTTTCTTGATTATGTCCTTTGGAGCACAAATGTTTTAAAATTTTATAAAGTCCAACTTGTTGATCTTCTTTTAAACTTGTATTTTTGGTGTCATAGCTGAGAAATCATTGCCTAATCCAAGATCATGAATATTTACTCCTATATTTTCTTCTAAGAGTTTTCATAGTTTAGTTCTTCCATTTAGGACTGTGATCCACTTAAATTTTTGTATATATATACTTTAAAAAAATTCTGGTATTAAGATACAATTTACATTCAATAAAATTCACCATTTGAAGTATACAGTTTAATTAGTTTTATCTTATATACTTTTAATCCTTCTGTATTGGGACTTCCCTGGTGGTCCAGTGGTAAAGAATCCGCCTTCGAATGCAGAGGACATAGGTTCGAGGAACTAAGATCCCACATGCCGCCGGGCAACTAAGCCCACACGCCACAACTACTGAGCTTGTGCACCTCAACTAGAGCCCACCAGCCGCAAACTACAGAGCCCACGCGCTCTGGAACCCGCGCACCACAACTACAGAGCCCAGGTGCCCTGGAGCCTGTGCGCCACAACTAGAGAAGAGAAAACCTGCACATCACAACTAGAGAGAAGCCCACACACCACAACGAAAGATCCCACATGCCTCAACGAAGATCCTGCGTGCTGCAACTAAGACCCGATGCAGCCAAAACTAAATAAAATAAAATTTTAAAAATCCTTCTATACTGTTAGATTTTTTTTCCCCTGGGAAGTTAGGGATAGGGAAAATTGAGTGTGTGCCCATTTTCTCTTTTTTCTTATGCCCCACAGTTTTGCTTGTAAATGTATGTGTGTGATTATGTGGGAGCGTGTGTGAAAGAGAAAGAGAGAGAATTTTGATTTTGACATCAGCTTCTTATGGATTCCCACTTACTTTGGCTTTCTCTAGCAGCTCCATGGACCCATTTAATTATATATAGGTTGAATGAATGAATGCAGTAATCAAGTGACAGTCTATCAGTGTCTGCCCTCAGAGCCATCAGTACCACATGGCCACAGATGTTTCCATGCAGCTGCCCATTGTTGGGACTGAGATGGAGACTGCCCAGCTGGGCCCATGCGTGGACGTGTCTGGGTTTAATGGACTGTTTTCTAATTTGTGATTCCTTCATAAAGAGCCCCCTTTTCAGGATAATTACAGAGTCCTGTAATAATCTATTACTTAGGACTGGTTTCTGTTCCTCATGTTTTCGCAGCCTTCCACTGGGCTGCCCCAGCAGCATTGGCCACCTCCAGCAGTGAAAGCAGGGTGAGGCTGACCAGGACACCTTAACTGAGGAACCAGGAGAGCTCAGTGGATTGAGTGAAAGGCCCAGGAGGTAGGAGACCACACTTCCCATCTTAGCCCTGCAGCCCTGCTCACTGAGCCACTCTGAGCCTTCAAATTTCCTTCTGAAACATGAGGTAGAATTAAAGGAACCTTATCTAGGGTGCTTAATATACACTGGGCTTAGAAAAATACCACTTAGAAGTGAAGCAGTCTGAGCACATTAGCTCACAGTGATGTTTTTTACCAGAATTTATTAAGGTTACATATTGACGTGACTGTTGTCAAGATGATGACTTTTGAACGTTAGAGGAAAGGTGGACCAGAGGTGAGGCAGTCAAAGGTGGTCCCTATCACAGGATGCCTGTTCCACCGCAGCCCAGGCCCCCCATCTCTTGCCCAGCCACTGGCTTCCTCTGCCAGTGGTGAACTCCAGTTATACCTTTATGTATTGAATACATCATTTCCTCACTATTATCCCCATTTCACAGAAGAGAAACTGAAGGTGACTTGCTCAAGGTCATCGGCTAAGAAATGTCCGAGCCGGGATTTGAATCCAGATTTCACTAACTCTACTGCATGGTGGTCTTACGCATTAAGATACCACTTCCGTTCTAGGACCTCTATATTCCTCTAAACTAGGTGGCAGGCAGAGTAAAACAATGAAGTGTTTGTACCCTGCCCTCCTCTCTCCTTGGCCTAGAGTCTGAGGCTGGTGGGGGAATCTTGTGTTGTCTGAGTCCAGGGAGAGGGAGATGATCAAGCAGTCTGACAGTCTTGAAGGGAACCCAGGAGAGGGATACCAAACAAGTGCATACAATGAGATTGGAAAACTGCTGAATTTTCTACACTGCAATTGTGAGGGATGAGGCTGGGCGAGGCAGAGGGGAGTCATAAAAGGGCTGGAGCTTGCTCTGGGCCTTAAAGGAAGGGAAGGGTTTTCAGGCAAAAGAGGGGGATCACATCCCTGGTGGAGGGTACTGGAATAAGCAGAGTCTGGGGCTAGAGGAGGGGGCAGGCCAGGGGAGTGGTAGAGAGTGGTAGAGGCTGTCAGCCTGGGTAGGGTGAATAGGGCCTGATACCAAAGGTCTTCAAAGGCAGGCAGTGGAATCTGATAATAGGGAGCTATGGTAGGTTCTCCAGTAGTATTCTGTTGGGGTGGGAAATAGAACTAAGGGAGGGAGGGGATCCTATACAAAGGGAGGGAATCAATACAAATTTTATAGGCTAAATAGAACGATTTCTGAGAGCATTTTCCAAAATTGGATTTTATGTGGAAGTCTCATATGCTTTATTAACTTTCAAGCAACAAGGGAGCCTGTTCCATCTTCTCTTCAAAAGCCCAATACCTAGGACAAAGCTCCCTGCCACATCTTAGGAGACCGAAGAGCCCTAACCTGGGGCTCTTTCTGTCCTATTTGGGGGGATTTTCTAGGTCTTTCTGTCCTATTTGGGGGTATTTTCAAGCCCTGTGAGGATGAAGAAAGGCAGTCTGGCCTCAGAAAAGGGCATCTTAGCTGAGACTTCGTGGGAGCCCAAGTTTTCCTCCAGCCTCGATCTGACCATCCAAGAGAAGGAACTTAGGAGCAGAAGTAAGAAGAACTACAGTTCTGCAGCCCATGGAACGAAAACCACAATCACAGAAAAATAGACAAAATGAAAAGGCAGAGGACAATGCCCCAGTTGAAGGAACAAGATAAAACACCAGAAAAACAACTAAATGAAGTGGAGATAGGCAACCTTCCAGAAAAAGAATTCAGAATAATGATAGTGAAGATGATCCAGGACCTCGGAAAAAGAATGGAGGCAAAGATCGAGAAGATGCAAGAAATGTTTAACAAAGACCTAGAAGAATTAAAGAACAAACAGAGATGAACAGTACAATAACTGAAATGAAAAATAGACTAGAAGGAATCAATAGCAGAATAACTGAGGCAGAAGAACGGATAAGTGACCTGGAAGACAGCATGGTGGAATTCACTGCCGTGGGACAGAATAAAGAAAAAAGAATGAAAAGAAATGAAGACAGCCTAAGAGACCTCTGGGACAACATTAAATGCACCAACATTCGCATTATAGGGGTCCCAGAAGGAGGAGAGAGAGAGAAAGGACCTGAGAAAATGTTTGAAGACATTATAGTCAAAAACTTCCCTAACATGGGAAAGGAAATAGCCACCCAAGTCCAGAAAGCACAGAGAGTCCCAGGCAGGATAAACCCAAGGAGAAACACACCCAGACACATAGTAATCAAATTGACAAAAATTAAAGACAAAGAAAAATTATTAAGAGAAGGAGCTGAGGGTGCTTGCTGCTTCCCAGTCTAGGAGAGGGTTAATGCTTACCTCCCCATCTAGCTCTTGCCTCCAAACACCAATGAGACTCTCTGTTCTGGAGCCAGACACGGCTTTTTGTTTTCCTCTTTGGGGGTCAGGGAAGCACAGCCATGAGCATTGGCCCTGATCTCAATTCCTGGGAAAGTGCCCCCAGATACCACCCAAGTGCGGAGCCTGCTTCACCTTCACCTCCACTGTGAGGGGCTGAGAGTGGGCAAGGTCAGCCATGGTCAGAACAAGACCATCATTCAAGGGCTTGGGCCTCTGTTTACTAATCTGTAAAACTTCACTAACCCCCGCCCTACCCACCCCTCCCAGGGTAGCTATTAGGAGGATGTGCTAAGAAGTAAGGGCTCTTAAAACTACTCTGGGCACCCTCTTCCTTGTTACCACCATTTTCAAATCTAGTTCTAAACAGTTCATTCATTTTGGGGAACAAGTCATCTCTACCAAAGAGATGCGAGTCTTCTAAACCATCCCAAAGTTCAAGACGCTGTGTCAGGATCCTGGATGAAAATGCAGATTCCTGGGGCCCTGCCCCGGACACATGTGGTCAGAATCTCCTCCGAGGCAGGGAGATATGTGTTTAATTCAGGCCCCAAGAGATTTGAGTATACAATCAAGTGGAAGAACTACTGTTTTACAGTTGGGCAAACAAGGCCTGTCTGAGACCAGGAAGAGAAACAAGGGAGATAACAACTCTCCAGAGGCTGGTGTGGGAGGACTGGCCGAGAGTCACTGGGAGGGAGGAGTGGGAAGAGCCTTGGCCTTCATCTGGCCCAATCCCAATTTCACTGATAATGAAATTGGGGCCCAGAGAGTGCGATGAGTCCAGGTCACCAAGAACATTCATGAAGACAGGCCTGTAGTCTCCGGGCTCTTGAAGCCCTCACCACACCTCCTACATATGTTGTGTGTTTTGCTCCTGCCTGGAGGTCATGCCCCTCTCCGAGCCCTAGGTTCTGTGTCTAGTCAGAGGCTTGAATCAAGTTAAGTCTTTTTCAAACTCCCTTTCTTAATGCTCCTGCTCCCTAGCCTTTTCATATCCAGAGATAAAATGTGTAATTTTCACTGCAGAACAAATAGAACTGTGCCTTTTTTCACAAGGAAAAAAGCCTCTTGCCGTCCTTTAAGTGCCTGGAAGGACCTTGGGCTCAGGAGTCCTTTGTACCAGGCCCTTCTAACCCAGGGCAGCCAGGTGAGCTCTTTCTACTGAGACTGTGGCTCTGAGAGGTCTGACTCACTCCCTATCTTCCAGGGCTTTCCAGTGCTTTCCCTTGGTAGCCTCAGCCAGCAGAGCCAAGGGAGCCTGCGTTCTTGACACAGATGGCACTCAGTCTACACACGTCCATGACCAAGCTGGCAGGCAGCCCCAGAACGGGACAGAGAAACACACAGCTGCACCAGGGCGTGATGAAGCCCACCTTTTCCAGCACCCATCCCCCTCCCTTTTATTTCATGGCACTGATGAAAGGCAACCGTTTTAACAAACATGATTTTTTTTTATTAGAAAAGTAAAAAATATTGCATAGGTCTTAATACTTGAACATCAAGTGTATTCATGAACAGCGAGTATCTTCATGTAAACAGTTCTAGATGGAAGACCCAGATGGTACTCCTCTGGGGGAGGGGTTCCAGCCCCCACCCCAATCAGCCCCATCCCCTCACAGTTCAACCCTTCACTACACATCCGGGGATGGGCCACACGCAGCTCCCAGGTGTATTTTTTCTTCAAGTGTCAAAGATCCCCAAGTGATCCCAACACCCACCCCTTCCTCCTCTTACATTCATGCGTCTGTAAGATAGCTGCCTAGAACAGGTCAGTAGTGAAGCTCCAATCAAAAAAAAAAAAAAAAGATACAAAAACAACAAAGAACAAACATTTGGTCCCTTCAGACCATGAGATACACAAACCACCTCGATGGCCTCCCCCCCCCACCCCCCCGAACAGAGCCGGCTACCGTGAGCACACATCCCTTGCGGATGCCAGGGCAGCCCAGCTGCTCTCATGGCTCTGTCACACCACTGTTGTCTTAACTGTCAGTAACAATAAAAATAATAAGGTACATGCTACATACACATCCAGCCAGAAGCCTGGTTGGCCCCTAAGCCTTTGTTTCATGCTACAGTACTGAGGGGCAGCGTGTGAGCCCAAGTGGGAGCCACCTGTCCACACCTCAGTGAGCTTCCTAGGGAAACACCGTGTTCCCCTCACCTTGACCTTCCTCCCCGCAGGTGGCTGTTGTCAGTTTTCTAACGACAGGCAGCAGTCCCTCAGCTTCTGCCTGCCAACGTCCACCCCAAAAGTTCAACTGTCTCTGTCATGGGGTCAGTATCGGCCCCCCAGACCCAAGTTCAACACTCCTCAATGAGCAGCTGCTCTGAGCTGTACAGCTTCTTTTTGATTACTCGGAAGCCTGTGCTCAGCGTCAGGGACTGGCTGAAGCCGGGGACGAAGGGAGAGTTGGCGGAGCTAAACAACCCCTGGATCTTGGGCCAGAGGCGTGAGTCCAGGCGCAGCACGAGGGTCAGCTGGAAGGTGGGCACAAGGCTGGGGTCGAGAGCCAGTTGACCCACGCTGTGGCAGCTCTTGCCCTGCTCTACGCAGACGTCTAGCAGCGCCCCCCGCAGGCCGCACGGCTCGCTGTAGGCCAGGCGCAGTAGTTCTTTGCCCACCTGGCTCACCAGCTGGCTGGGCATCAGCAGGCGTGCAGGGCGC